GGGGTGTTGACAACCCTGTCCACGCACTCAGTGCCACCAGCCCTCGCCCACCCACCCTGGGGAAGCCAGGCTGGTGCCACGTCGCAGGGCTGCACAAAGGCACAGGAGTCCAAAGGAGGCTGCACTTTTGAAAAACTTGAAAAATGCTGCCTCAGTGCAGTTAAGTCCCCCCGAGCTCGGTCCTGAGGACAGCTATCCTTAGGGTAAATATGTTTCAGCAAGGCGAGATGACATCAGAGGTGCGCAGAGGATCTTAAGGGCTAAATGGAGCGACACTTGAGCCGCCTGCCTGCACACCCAGAATAGCACCTCCACGCTTCGTCCTCTTGCCTTTGCTGGTATTACACGTGTGTCACTGCTGCTTCACCAGCATCCAGACTGCAGCAATAAGGCTGGAAAGTTTGCCTGTGTCAGAGGACAGCACAAACACATAAATACCCTCTCTAGATTGAAAAAAAGAAAGAAAAAAAGAAAGCAGCGGAGTGAAGCTGTAGCCCAACTCTGCCTTGTAGGTATTTGAAGATAAACCACAACCGAGTATGTAACGGCTGAGGTGAAAGTGAATAGATAGAAATGCAAACCCTTCATACATGTTGCAGAAGCCAAGAGCCAGCCAAGCAGCAACAATTCAACTTACCATAACGTAACTTAAACTTCAGGAAATAAAGCTGCACATCTCCTTTAAAGGAAGGGGGGTTTTTGCTATAAATTTATCACTGTTGAGTTCATTTGGGGAATTTGGGCAGGAAAAAGTGAGTTCTGGAGGTACCTCCTCTAGAGAAAATCTGTTTTTTCTTTGCAAACCGAGCTGTCGGCTTTGGGGTTTTTTTCTTCTTTCTGCTCCTGGGGAAGGAATGTTTCTTACATTTGCAAATTATTTTCCCTCTTGTTCAATAAATGCTTGTGGAAGAGGAGAGAAAGGGTTTGGCAAGAAAAAGTCAGCGAAGAGGCCTGGAATTAACACAGTCTGAAACTGGGCCCCTAAAGAAATTACCGAGTCAGAGCTTTTTCACCGCCCATGTAAAACTTGGCTAATTGAAACATTTGCAAATGTGTGATATGAGGAGTTTAGAATACTTCCAAGAGGCTGGAAGAGAACTGACAGAATAGGCCTTTACCAACCCTACTTTTTTTAATAGTAAGGAACATCTAGGGCGTGAACTTGGAAGCTATCTCGATCTACTTTTGGGCGTTCTTGGCTTGTTTGCTTAAAAAAACCCAAGTTCTTGGCCTGCCAAGAACTCGGTGCGTTAAGCTGGGGTGCAGGCTCGTACCCGCATCTCGGGCATC